GGGTACTATTGACCAATGTTATTGTACCTTCTCTTTTGCTCGCCGGTGGCCACTGAGGACGCCCCATCGCGAGAACACGTCCAACGACTGCGCAGGTTTTTGAAATGCTTCTTACACACGCACTCTCTTGTTTTATATATGTTTATTCCATCATAATTAGTTTCAAGAAGTGCTTCAAATTCTAAATTTATTAATAAAGAGCAGATTACCATCATAAAACCCCGTGATGCCTATTTATGTGTGCTTTCTTCAAGATGCTTAATCCGCAGTTATTTTTCGAATCCGCCAAGAACATTTACAACAGTCAACAGCTTAAGCAATTTAGATGGCAGTTTATATCTAAATATTGTTAGCGTACTATTAATCGATCTTAGCTTTTGCAAACGTGGTCTTTCTGTGGTCAATTTAGAGACTTATTTATAATCAGGCATTTGTGTATATTCTTTCAAGCTCTCAATGGGTTGACATGCGCACCGCTAGGCCCTGTCATGTAAGCACTGATGATTATGACTTCATCACGATCATAGCATGATGAAGGGCCTTGTGGTCTTTTGATGCGACTCGAGTCACTCAAGTGATTTTTTTTAAACTCGAACTCGACTGAAAAAATATAACCCGAATCGAGAGAGTTATCGAGTAACATATCGAGTTGATTCTCTTACCACTAGATGTCACTTCGCTACTCTAATTTATTAATCTATGCCGTTTATCTTTTTAATTTCTTGATTTCTTAAAGAAAAAAAAATGTCATGACACTTTTAATGTGTGTTATATTTATATTTTTAATATATTTTTTTTTAAATTACTAAGAGAAATCTCACCCGTGTTGTATTTTTTTACTCGAGTCACTCGAAAACTCGAGTATGACTAGATTGAGGTAATTAATTGCCTCGAGTGACTTGAGTCATAAAATCTTACTGTGGTCCACCTTATTATGTGGTGCATTAGTTTTGTTTTATCTGAATTGTTCACAAGCCCTACACCATGTACCCATTTACACAATAAGTTAAAGTTATCCTTAAAAAAATTAACTGCGCCTCTACAATGCTCAATTCTGGGACTAACAAACAAGTATCATCCGCGAATTGGTATACAGAACCACTCAATTATGTTATGCATATTGTTTCCATATAAAAAGTACTCAATTGGACCGATTATCGATCCTTGTGCTGTTCCTGTGTCAGAAATAGTAAGTGTGCTATTTGCATCTGCTATTTTGACCGTGTTGTAGAGATTTGATTAGATTTTTTTTAATATAATTTGCACTCCACCCCGCGAAAGTTTCTCGTAAAGTGTGTCATAATATAATACATATAATGCTTTACTAAAGTCAATAAAAATAATTAATACGTGCAATTTATTATTAAGATGATGAATGAAATTATCATTTGTAAAATATCGCAAAAGTTGAGTTGTGCTCCTTTTTTCTTTAATTCAAATCGGTTCGAGTTTATTATGTTATTTCTTAAAAGGTAGTCATTTATTTGGACACTGAGAAATCATTAAATTATTTTATGTAAGCATGACAATGTAGTTATTGGACGGTAGTTGTTAAAGTCACTATGTTCGCCTTTTTAAATATCGACCGGATGACCGATTTTAAGGAGATCTGGATGAATACAGGTTTTAACAATTAAGTGCGTAATGAATGGAGTCATTTTATCTTCCATATACTTAATATCACACTGAAAATTCTTTTGCCTATTTGCAAGTTGTTTAGGGTCGACGTTGAAAAATTTAAAGAATATTGATTCTATACTGGCGGTCGCCTTACCTGTTAGAATATGAATAATTTGCCATGTTTTTCGAGGCTTACCATAATTGTTACATACCCATTTCATTGTTTGATTATTTCTCAACTTCTGCACGTATTTATTTGTTATATAGCAATCTATTCTTAGCATTACTATTAGCATTATATATTGGTAACATGTAGGTTGCCTTTTAATGTGATAAAAATAGGGATTTCAAGTTTTTATGGAAGTTTGTCATTGTCGAAGATAAAATCATAAAACTTTATATTCAGGCATGGATATATATTATTCATATCTAAATATAAATGTTTAAGCGTCTTTAGAAATGCTAATGCTAAAGTTACTACATCAAACGGATGAAGTCGCGGGCAAAAACTAGTTACACATACATGCACTATTTATATACAGTGCATGTATGTATGCAGTTCCACAATGATCTGTAATCACTGCGATATAAAGAAATGGCTGGCAGGCACATATGCCTGACTTTCAAAGTTTTTAGGACTGATTTATGTCTCGTCTCAGATGTATGGTTTATTTGTGGATATCTGCTCCACATTCGTACAGGTGACGTTTTGGTGTATCTCACTCTTGTTTGTTATCTGCAAAGGTCATTGTCACTTTATTCATAGATGTGTAAGATTCGATGTCAACCAAATCGACATTGTCGAGTTACACGGTAGATTTGCAGGTAAATATAGAGGTGGTCAGCGGGAAGTGAGTTACCCAATGTCGTGGACCTTTCACTGCACCATCGCATCAGTGGAGGAGGTGCAGTGAAAGTGTTACGTATTACGTTGTCTTTGCCGAGGATGCCATGTAGGTCTATTACAATTTGCTAATGATTGGTCAACGGCGTGTCTGACTCGCGACTTAAAGGGTTCCGTGCAAATATAGAATATGGTCACTATTGTTGGAGAAAATCGGCTACAGATAGACAGATCACCGAATACTTTTATAAGTGTTTAAATTGTCAGTTTCAATTTTAAAATCAATAAACATAAATGAATACACAGCTGCACGTCAGCCTATCAAAGTATGTAAAATTTGCTTTATCGATTTTGAACTCTAACGGCAATGCATTAAGGTTTAAATCAAGTGGAGCAAAGTGACAGTTTTGTACAGCATGGCGTGCGGTTGATTGTACACTCTGAAGAAGTTACTCAGTAACCTTTTGTAGGCAAAACACACTGTTGTAGACTTCGTTTTTGTTATATTTCGGGAAAACAGTATTCTAACCAATTGTTACTATGATCAAAAAGAAATGTGAAATTGTCATTTAAAACTCCCAGGCATTAGGAAGGCAGGTAATTTATTTTTATTAGGTTGGTAGGACCATCTTTTTTTTTTTGTACCGAGGGGAACTGACCTGAACATGCCATCGACCTTGATGAGAGGCCGACTGAACCCGGGCTCTCCTGCTGCGGAGGTTAAAGAACCCCTATCTACAGCAGGCCTACCGTGCAAAACCCCCCGGATTACCCTCACAAGGGTCTGGGACCTGGTATCTGGCAAGGAAAACCCAGGTTACCCAGACCATAGGTTGGTAGGACCATTTATAACATTTGCCAAACTTCTGTTTGTTAGAAAGTTTAGTAATCTCCGAATTACATGTGTTTATGCAAACAATCAAAAGTGAATTTTTCGATTTTTTTCACCATGTCATACTGCTTTGGTGCTTCGAGATTTCTTTTGCCAAAAACGCGTCTCATATCGTTCCTCGACCACCGTATTCGCCTGTTTTGGCATCGTGCCAATGCGGGGACGCCGTTTTGAAACGATTGAGAAGATAAATACCGTATCGAAAAAGGTCTTGAAGGCTATATACCGGAAAGAGACTAATCCGACCGTTTCGAGGACTGTTAAAAGCGTTGGAAAAAGTGCGTTTTTTCGGTTTGAATTCAAATTAATCCATTTTGAAGGGTATAAAATTGATTTGGAAAAATAAATAAAGAATTTACATTTTGTAAACAAAGTCACCTTACTTTTTGATCACAGCTCTTATAAATATTTCAACAATATATGTGTAAATTTACTTAAGCATTTTTATTTATATTATGAACTTAGTTTTTAATTTAAATCGCAATATTAAGTTTGAAGTTGAAAAGGTGAAGTCACTTTTACATCATCTGTTTACAAATCAACAATTTAATTTCTTTTGTTTGAGAGTAGAACGCCTTTATGCTGAAGAACAAATTAAAAATAAGTCAATAGGGATGACGACTAATTTTTGTTTGTTTATTCATCAGGTATAGAGGAATGTTAAACACGTATTTTATTTGCGCAATCAATAAATTATGGCGGTAGATTGTGTTGAAATGTAGCATGACGTCACGCTTTTAAACATTTTCTAAAAAATTGTGACGTAGCGAGCCTCCACTCCTCAACTTTAATGTCTTTTATCTAAGCCATTTCTTGTTTAAATTGAAGCATAAAAAATTCGTATCTAATTTCTATTATCTGATTGACGGATTACTAAAATTTCTTTTTTTAACCTAGTCATCGTCCGTATTGCATATGTAACAATTTAATTTTTGTCTCAGAAATCTTAAGTAGGTAGGTACTGCCCACTATTGCAATAAATAATTTAACAAATTACTGACATAAAACTATCAGAATAAAGTGTATTATTAATGGGATAATTATCTCTAAATGATGACTCTCTTAATAAGGTAAAAATCTTAAATCTTATGGAATTCACAGTTCTTTATTAATTTATTTTCGTATTAAGGTGCGCGCCAAAAATAAACTTAATCTTACTGTGTCATGGCCACGCGTGATCTGCACTTTAGAAACTGCAATACCTTTTGCGGTTCAAAAAAGTTTGTATCACATATCATCATGATTCATTATGCCAAATTAAGAAAAAACTTTTTTTTTTAAATTTTATATATTTAACAACATTGTACTTACTTAGTAAATCAACAACAATTATACAATAGTCAACAACGCTTGCAGACAACAACAACTTAAATTGACTGACACACAAATAAATATCACATTTCAACAAAACTTCGTCAATATTGACGGAAATACATCTCCGTCAAATGTACATGGGTCTTAAAAGTAAATTATATACAAATGGGTTGTACCCGGCCTCTTCGAAAGAAAGGCTTACATAGTAAGCTATTTTCTTTTTTTTTCAATTCAACAAATGCAAACTGATCAGGTATAAAACCTCCATAGAAGATTTAAAAAGAGAAACTATGGCAGCATTACCAACCTAGATCAGATTTGTATTGCCAAAATGAATGTTCCGTTTTAGGTTCCTGTATTTAGTGCTTGCCTCCTTTGTGGTGGTAGATGTGCTTGTAGACGGGCACATGGACGGGGTAAGGTTTGGGGATGGGTACCTCAACCTTCTTTTCGACCTCAACGGGGTAAGGCTTTTCAACCTCATAAGGTACAGGCTTCTCAACGGTGTAAGGTACTGGCTTCTCCACGATTTGAGGGACAACCTGAAATAAAGAAGGTATTTTAATTTTTTCAACTATAACTCTCCTATGGCCTTGTGGCATATTGCCTTTGTGTTTTATTTAATATTAAAATAATAACGATCTGTCATAAAAGCGCGGGTGCAAATTACTTTTTAATTTCAAACACACGCTTGACTGGCGTGCGCTTTTACTTTCGTTGTGCCAGTTACATTATATAATAATTGGTTCGGTGACATGAATGAAGTATTGATGTCACGGAGCGTTAGATAAAGAAGTGTGGAAACAATAGAATGTCTTGATATAATCTACGGTATTGTTGGCGCTGAGAAATTGCGAGGTTTCTCTTGAATAATATGAACAGTATAATATCTAAGCTGTAATAAACTCAAACTGTAAAATATACCTAGTATATGTCAATAAACTAGAAAAAAATGTTTGATCTACGTGTCAGTGCTATCATATGACTCTTCAATGCTAACATAAATATATAAAGGAAGTCATAATATTAGTGCAAAAACAAAATAGAACAAATAGTAAAAATAATATTTAAAATGCACTTATATGGAATTTGTCTTTGGCATTTCCTAACGTTTTGTTCATATCGATTTCTTAGAGTAAGTACTACCTATTAGTTTTTATTGTTTATTTTAAGAATTCCATATGCTCATAAAGCTTTTTATGACGATCTCAATATTTTTTTTAACTTTCGAAGATCAAGAGTGTCGTTGGTACAGCTAAACCGGTTGGTACAGTCAAGTACACGCCAGATTACTCTATATGTTCTAATTAATTTGAAGTTTTAATCTGATGATGATTAAGTGCTAAATGGATTGCATGATTTTTTTTATAACAACCTAATATGCTATGTTCTTACTATAGCAATAATATCAGTGACAGCATTTAGGATAATGTCCTTTCACTAGTGATATAATAATCTTATGGGACTTTTACTTGGGAGATACGATAAAATTTTATAACCGTATAAATTGTAGTTATGATACTTTTAGTACCTTTAAGTTCTTTTAACAGTTAAATGACTTTTAATAATATAATACGTCACAAGAATAATTTCTAGTATTGCCAGTTACATATTGATCTTATCTTAATAAAATTCTTATGTTAAATGTGTGTCTAATTAAGATTACAAGATTAGCTGTCATAAAAATGATCAGGTCTTTAACTTCAACCAACGATTTATAAATATCCTATGACGAAGTTTGAAATTAAAACAAGAATCTGTCTATGGGTTTCCTATATCAAGGCAAAGGTTTGTGTGTTAAATTACCTTGTAAACAGGAACGTGGATCGGTTGCTCCACGGTCACATGGACTGGGTAGGGCTGCGGTATCGGTATCTTCACGTACTGCGGCACGGATACCGCCACCGGGTGCGGGATCGGGACACCGATCTTCTTCACGACGGTCACGTGGTAAGGTTTAGTGTGCTCCGTGTGTGAGTGGCCTTCAGGCTCCCATTCGTCGGAGGGGCGCGCGCTGGCTAGAGCGGCTAGGAGGAGGATGGTTGCTGTCTTCTGTAAAGGGTAAAGATATTTAGTTAAACCTTTTTGCCGAATTAATTTTAAATTTAAATTTCGAACAGACGAAAGCTTTAAATGTGAATACAAAAAGGTAGAGTTTGATCCCTTATATTAGAACACATATTATTTCAAATCTTATTCTTTTTTTTTTAAATGCATAAGAATAAGTTATTCATAGGTTAATATCAGCGTTATGTCATAGATGATAAAAAGCGCAGAAAAGATATTAAGTCGCGCTCCATTTCACAGGTTATATCACTGGCACGTTCCTTTTTTGCGGATACGAAGTTATGTAAAAAAAAATATCGTTACACTTACAAAAGCGATCATGTTGGAATGTTTAGGTGATGTTGTCGACGTCTAAGTACTGACTGATGCTGTGAATGTCTCCACAACCGTTTTATACTAAGTGAAATGTACGAAGCACCTTTCCATTCAGTGATAGCAACTGTATACCGCGACACTCCTCTCTTCAGTCTCGGTTACCGTCCGCATCGAACACTTTCACCTCCATGGAAGATTTAGTCAATCGCATCTGGTTTACTTTTATAACGAAGTGTACAATGTATGTGATAGTACTGAACATACGGTTATTAATAGTGATAGTGATGAGTCGCGTAGTAGTTTTCGATTGTACTATTTCGTCTTTAATAAGGAGAACTCAAAACCGCTTTTTTTTGTTCTTGTTATGATTTTGCGTCTTGATGTGTGCCGATATATTTTCGTTTTTTTTTATTCACATTATCGGTGATAGAAAGTGGTATGACACCTGGTTAAATAAGATCAGACCAATTCAGACTATCAATTTATATATGGTAATAAGAATGCAACATATATGAAATATTTTAAATGTCTGAAAATGTATTTTTCTTAGGGAAAATGTAAAGAAAACTTAAAAACATATATTAATCGACATGTTACCGTTGCTATTTACCCGATTACGACGAAGCGAAAAGGAGGGTTATGTTTTTGGCCGGTGTGTATGTATGTAAGAATGTTGATGTGTTTCTTCCCTTATAACTTCGAAATTACTCATTGTATCTGGTATCATTAAAAACGCCTTAGTTGTCCGCGTGCTATAGGCTATGTGACGTTCCATTAAATTGGCAACAGCGCCCTCTAGAGAGCATAAAGTAAGAAACAAAAAAAAAATTCAACAATTCCGTGTAGGGTATCAAATGAAAGGGCTTAATTAGCACATTTCAAACATATTGATAGCTTTTGCTTGCGATTTTATTTAAATACATCCGAAAATAAGTTTTAAAACTAAAATCCCACTACAGTTAAATCACGTTGTACAAAGTTTGAAAGAAGAAATTTATTTAATAGTGATAGATATATTATAATAGCGATAGCCAAAGACCAGTGTAGTAATTTAAAGCGTTATTTAGCTGAGTCAAATTTTAGTTTTTGAACATATTCTTTTATTTATTATACCATTTGATATCCCAGAATCATAATCCAAAATCTTTCAGTTGTAACTGTAGATTTGTGTTAAGTAAAATTTTTATTCGACGTCTTGTTATTAGCTTTTCGCACCAGCTATACAAAGAAAAAACGCACCGTATTTTATTTATCACATTTTCATACAATTACTTCGCCTAAAAGATTTCTCGTTAACGATTGATTCGAATTTTACTAATTTTGTTCCCAATCAAAGTGCTTTTAATTATTGTTTTTATATGCACAAGGCGGCAAAGATTGTGACAGATTGTCCTACATATTTTTAGAAGAACAACTTCCTATGTGAAGAATCATAAGTTTCAAGTAGAGCCGATTAAACATTGTCCTATTGAACTAAGTTCGATATTATCATTATTTGGTCACCCATCATATGCGAAAGTGGTTTAACGTCCGCATCTCAGACCGATCGAGCTCAAATACTGTTAACGATAGCTCTAGATAAAGGATTTATGATGAAAAACTGGGATTTAGGGAACCAAAATAATAAGACCAGGATAGGGCTGAGTGACAACTATAATATTTGTCATGGAAAACAAAAATACGTACAAAATCAATAAAAAAGTAAAAAAGGCTTCAAAAAAGGATGGTTGGTTGGTTCAAGGTTGGTAACAGATACTTTTTTGGGTCATTGGTCAATCTTTCTGCCTTCTTCTGCTGTCCTAGGAATAGATTACGGCTACTTTCGAATTAATACTGTTTTTATTAAAAAAAAAAAATACTTGGAAATTGATTATAATTATAATTTTCAACGGAACCTATATGGAGGATGAAATTTTAAGATTATAAATGGAAAATTTATGCAAAGTAATGTGAACTGTATTTGTACAGTGCATATTAAAAGTCATTAAAGCAAGATAGTCAATAAAGGAAAGTACATAATCACTGAAACGCGGCAAAATTTTGAGGCTTGTCAATGGATCCAGATAAGACATATGATGGCGTATTGCTTGGCTTAAAGAGCAAACATTTTTTTTTATTATTTGCTCGCAATTTATTACGATTATCTTTAAACGGTACAAGAGTGTCAGCTTTGTTACGTGTAATAAAGCAATAGCTGACATTCTTTAAAAATATTAAAAAACACGTTTTAGCTCAGAGTTTTTAATTTGTGCATGATTTTGTTCCTAAGCATTAGTATCGTTAATAGTATATTTATCAAAACAAGTATTGAAATATATTTATATATTAAAATTTATTCTCATTTTTTACATACAAACTGCAGGTATTTCATTAGAATCTTTCCGTGTTCTGTGGTCATTACCCCCAAAAGACAGACCTTTTTTCTTTATCTCCGATATAAGTAGTTTACAGGAGAGAAAAATGTGTTAATGATTAACAGCAGCGGTTCTCAAACTTCTTTGATCTGAAACCAAATGATAATGATTATTATTAAATCAGTTGCATATATGTTCTACTTCAACCCCGATTATTTGGGAGCAAGTTTGCAAATACTCTACTAATTTAATAATGTAAGCTCTACAACTCTTTCAATTTTTGATTTATTTTATGTATACTCTGTAACCTTATAATAATATTACATATCACCAATATTTTCTAGGATTCATAATATATGCTTTGTTTTACGTCACCATAGCTCCGCAGAGCACGCTAGGATTTATAGTAACATTATAAGGCTGCATTATAAGGCAAAAAAATGCTGTATATACAGATACAACACTAACACTCCAATAACACTTGATCAATTAAGCAAATACTTTTACAAGAATTTGAAATTCTTGTCTATTATTTAAAAATATTTTGCTTCAGTTAGAACATTTTCTCAAGTAATTACTTCTCTCTATAGAAGTATATACCTAGTCAAAAGAAGTACATAACTACTTGAAAAAGGCATAACTTAATATTTTTATGAATGAAGTAAAAATGTTAATAATCGCTAATAATAATGGCACTCTAACTATAAACAGTTATTCATTCAAATTCCTGTTTATTTAGTAAAATTTATCTGCTTAAGTTTGACATATTCTCTATTACATTACTTCTCTCGACTATAGACATGAAGGTGATTCATTTATTCTTAATATTAATTTATTTAATTCAGATGATGATTTTCTTTGTCCTTTTTACAGCTCTTCTTAAAATCTCTAAGGGACACAGATTATTCGAGTTCTTTTTATTTTTATTTATTGACGAGTAACAAATTACATAATATCAATTGTATCTCTTACGTCCAGTTGCACAAACGTCTATTTAAATTATCATTAGTTTAATGTCACATTACCCATACAAATTTTCAAATTTAGAACATTCATTAGAGCATTAAGTCTCTTTAAACCTTAATGTACGTTTGTGCAACTGAGCGTTTGTGCAGCAAAAGCCAGAAAGGTTTATTCGTGCACTATTTTACCAACATATTTACATTAGTCAATATTATACCACAGTTTGAAAAGTTCAAGCCTGAGATACATTTTTGAATTAAATACAAAATAAAAAATAGGTAATAACTTAGCGTGATTGAATTCAAATAATTACATAATTACAACTTTCCTTTAAAGAAGCTGTTATGAGTTTCACTAAATATAGTGTACAATTACATGAAAATAATACAGATGCATTAGAATCCGACGAGAAGAGAAATCGGCCAACTGCAGTAAATTGTACAGCAAAATTATATGGTTGATGATACGTCGTTAGTTGGAGCGTATGGTCATACATATTATTATATCTCTGTGACACAGTTATGTATGGAAAATGGGAAAATTTTGTGGTATTATTTTTATAGAAATCCATCCAATATACAAAGAAATACTAGGAGACGAATCTGCTCTAGACTACTTACTCTTGTTCATTTTCTTTTATTATGTTTTACATTGTTTATGTATTAAAGGTGAATCGATTGATGAGTAAATTATTGCATATTTTTTATTATTTTTTAATATTGTGACGGAAAGTGACATCATTTTCTAATTTTGACATCTCTATATCGGCCAAGACTGAATCAATGATTTTAATTTGATTCCAAACAATTTAACCGGAAAAACTTTTTTGGCATTTTTATAGTTCCGTGTCCAAAGAGTAGAAATCAGGACCTATATACTTATCCTTACCCTCGCCCCGCTGTCTATCTGTATTTCACCGGTTCTCATGAACTTTTTTTTTTCTTTAATTTCTGTTGTCGCCATAACAAGAAACCAAAAAACAGAATAAAATGAGTATTTATACGGGAGGCTGCCGTACAACAAACGTCACGGTGATCTGTCGTCTAAAAGAAGGTGAACCCTTGAAATTGAAGACTGAAATCGGCATCAAAATAATCAGACTGATAGCGTTAAGCACGGGCTCCTCGTTGCTTAAGCCATCGGTCCCATTTGCGTCTGCTGTCGTTAAAACCCACCATTTGCCTTATTCGATTCTATCCATAGAAAAGGAAGGCCCTGCAGTGAGAACCTCAACAGAATTTGCTCCATTAAGAATTGCCTCAAGCACTATTGACGGTGTTAACAAGCAAGCATTATAAAAATGTGAGTAATATTGTCGAATACCATACAAATATCCAGAAGAAATATGAGGTGATTTTTTTTCAGACTTATATTCAATAAAAAAATATATACAGTATTATTTAGGTGTAATTTTCTAGTACTCTTATTAAACTTTATTTAGCAAACAATAATTAATTCGCAAAAAATTAAGATCACTTAACGAATCTTATCGTCGCAGTAATACAGTTGAATTTGCAATGACCAATGGCCGCATTTTAATGTAGGCCATTTCGCACAGTGGTATGGCACAATAAAAACAAGAAGACGTACGAAACAATGCAGGCGGAAGGCAGTCACCGGAAGAACGACATGTCTTACTGCGTAGCCGCTATTGTACAAGTCATGAGCGACAGCGATAACATAATTATTTATTTTGTTTTGTGGAAGGTATGTATGTTTTTGGA